CGGGGAGCGTGACTATAGGGCAGGCAATGTGAGCATGAATCCGACTATGGAGGACTTTGCGGTCCACGAGCTGGAGAGGTTGACACAAGATGTCGTCGATAACGAGCACGTGGCTGCTGGGCACAAGAAGAGGTCTGAGCTTCTTCTCGCCACTTGCCTCCCCCTCTTCGTCCTTTCCCTGGCTCGTGTTTCTTGATCGCCTCGTCCTCATTCTACTCTTGCTCTTGCTCTTGCTCTTGCTCTCTTGCTTTTCCTCTTCCTCTTCCTCTTCCTCTTCCTCTTCCTCTTCCTCTTCCTCTTCCTCTTCCTCATCCTCTGCCTCTTCCTCATCCTCTGCCTCTTCCTCATCCTCATCCTCTGCCTCTGCCTCTCCCTCATCCTCTCTGCCTCTGCCTCATCCTCCCGTCAGTCCTCGTCCTCATTTTGCTCCTTCTTGGACTGTTGACCAAGTCGTGATTTCTCCTTGGCCTCCTCATCAAACTCTCGCGCCATCTTCTCTCCTCCTCTTTCTTCGTTTTCACTTCTTCTCTTCTCATCTCTTGCTCAGGTACCAGAAGGATCTTGCTCACGCTGTACGTTCTTGTCCTTGTCCTCCTCCTCCTCACCCCCCTCTCATGGTTTCTCCCAGGTCGAAGCCGCCATCGTCGAGGATGAAGTCTACAGGAGGAGGTCCAAGGACTGCCATTCGGACTGCGACCACCTTGATACGTGCGTTACCTTACTTCCCTCCCATGCCCCTGCCCCTGCTCCTGATGTTTCCCTCTTCTTCTCTGCTCTTCTTTCTGCTCCATCGTCTTTCTTCACTATCTTTCTCCAACATCGCAATCGCCTCCTGTACTTGGCAACCACCTTTCATCTCCTGCCCTTTGCCTTGTTCTCTCTCTGCCTCTTTGCGCTGACACCCTGCCTGGCAGTACGGAGAGGGAAGAACTGCGCGATCTGACTCAGAATGGGCGCAGCCATTCCGATATTTTCCCCGTATGACGGTGGGGGGGGAAGGAGGGGGAGAAGGAGGAGTAGGGTGGAGGAGTAGGGGAGGAGGCGGCGGAGGGTGGAGGGTGGAGGAGGAGCTATTTGGGGACTTCTGCTCTGTTGTGTTTGTTTATTCTTTCCTCATAAAACAATTTTCGACATCTACGAGTGACAGGACGTGCTGGGACATCCTGACGAAGGAATCCTTCTCTTCGTTGTCTTCCTCCTCCTCTACCTCCTCATCCATCATGCTGCTCTTGTGCCTGCCTGCTTCGCTTCTTATCGCTCCTCCAACTTGTTCCATTCTCCTCGCTCTGCTGCTCTCTTGGCATTAGCAAGAGCCTGCCGATCAGACATTAGTCAGAGCTCCTCCTCTGCTCCCTTCCCTGCTCCCTCTCCCGCTACCTCCTCTGCTCCCTCTCCCGCTACCTCCTCTGCTCCCTCTCCCGCTACCTCCCCTTCTCCCTCTCCCGCTACCTCCCCTGCTCCCTCCCCTTGCTTCCTCCTCCCCCGCTCCCCCCTCTTGTCTTCTCTCCTCCTGTAAACTTTTCCACTTTGTCCTCCCTCACCTCAGGCTTCGGTCGCAGCTTTACCTGCCATCAACGCATTACACTCCTCTCTTCCCCCCTCCTCTCCTCTCCTCTCCTCCCCTCTCCTCTGCTCTGCTCTGCTCTGCTCTGCTCTGCTCTGCTCTGCTCACCAGCCCTGATGCGCTTCGCCACGACTGAGGAGGAGGAACCTCAACGACGTCCACAATGTCGTAGTACTTGAGGGCCTAGACGAATGTGAGGAGCGAGCAGGAAGACATCAAGAAGAAAAACGATAAAGTGACATGGGCGATGATGATTGTA